GCAACTTCTGAATTCCATGGTAACCGTATTACTGTTTAAAAACGCGAAATGGTTGGCTGGAGATGAAGCCCAAGCAAACATGGAGCGTCTTAAACAGAATAAATTGAAAAGATTAAATGTAAAAAAAAGAAAATGATTGAACGAAATGGCATTTTCAATTGCAAGCTAAGAGCCCATGAAATTGGAGGCAACATGCGACGGCAGCAGCTTTTTTTCTTCTATTTCCAGATTTTTTCTTCTATTTTCAGATTTTTTTCTTCTATTTTCAGATATTTTCTTATAAAATTGAATATGAAATCTAATTTTTAATTTTCTTTTTCTATTTTCAGATTTTTTCTTCTATTTTCAGTTATTCCTTTGGGTTTTTTCGTATATTTTCTTTTTTTTCAAACATTTTAAATTTTGTAGTAATTAACCGTAGTAGTAGTAGTAGAGTAGTGCATGCCTTTTAACATATATGTAATACTCCTATATTGGCAGTAAGAGCTAGTACCGTCCGAAAACACTACAGTACAGATATATCAATAAACACGTACGAAAGAAAAGGAACACACACGTTTATAAATAAACATGTACACAACACATATACAAAAACGGCACTCAAGTACACAATACATTGACAAAACGGTACTAGACTGTCTCGCTTTGATTTCGGAATGCTTACACATTGAGAAGTTAGCTTACTGCCCATATAGAAGTACAGTAGTACCTCGATTCTTGCACATAATGAAAACAGGGCTCGGTGCAAGAATTGAGGTTGTCGCAAGTAGCGAGTATTTTTTTTTTGTATGAAATAAAAGGCAATTTTATGAAAGAATTTGGTTGGAAAATAAGTTTATTATTTTTAATATGTATTTTAATTCAATACGCTTAAGTTTAATTCGTTCATGTACATAAATATAGAAAGACTCACATACTTTATGTGGAACTAAAAAAATTTGAAATTTTTTTTTTTTTGATCTTCATTTTGTTTAAAAGACTCCAAAATAGGTTCAGCAATCCATTGCTCAATTTCAGAATCGGATATTTGCTGCAATGGTTCTATTTCTTGAAGCAAATTTGAAATTGCTTGAATATTGGATGTATCTTCAACAAGCTGTAAGCGTAACTCTGAAAGAGGGATGACATCTTCACTATCCCATTCGGATGTTACCTCAAACAGTTTTTGAAATGATGACTGAATGGAGGTCACATTAACAGCATTCCAGGCATTAGCTAAAAAGCATATTGCGTGTTTTAAGTTGATGTTTCGCAGAGATTCGTCTATTGTTTTTCCACGGCGAACGATGTCACTTAAAAGGCTTGTTTTGTAGTTCAATTTCGTAAGTCTTATAACATTCTGGTCCATTGGCTGTATAAGTGCAGTACAGTTTGGAGGAAGACACATTACAGATATTTGACCATCACTACTCATTAACTCGCCGTCTTTGGGATGGCATGGAGCATTATCAATAAGCAATAGAGCCTTTTCGGGAAGATTTTCGGCACGAAGGAACCCTTTTACCTGCAATTTTAGGAAATTTAAATTAATAAACGAAATTTTTTACAAACAAAGATGACCAGATGTACCTCTGGAACAAATGTTTTGTGAAACCATTCCTCAAACAAAGCCGAGGTCATCCAAGCACTTTTATTTCCTTTGTATACATCCGTAAAATTGTTAAGTGATCGTGGGTTTAATGATTTCCCAATAACCATTAGTTTTACTCTGTGATTTCCAGATGTATTCGTGCAAGCCAGAAAAGTTATTCTTTCCTTACTGATTTTATGTCCTGGAGCGGAAGTTTCTTTTGACCGCAAAAGCTTCCAAAAGAGACCAGATTCATCGGCATTGTATATCTGGTCCTTGGTCAAACCTAAATCAGCAATTTTTTTGTTCAGTTTTTGTAAAAATGGATTAACTAAATGAGTCTTATTCAAAAGTTTTTCTCCACATATTTTGAGTCTTCGTATTCCATATCTTTTTTTAAAGTTTGTAATCCAACCATTGCTAGCATGGAAGTCCCCCGATTTTTCCTGAATTTTGGCATGGAGAAACTTGGCCTTTTGTTTAAGCATATCAGAAGTGATTCGTAAATTCTTGGCTCGTTGATTTGCAAACCATTTCATCAATGCTCTTTCCATTTTAGGAAGCTCTGCAGGTTTAAACGTTTTTCTCTTCCCAGGACCAGATTCAGCATGCGCCAGGAACTTCCTTATGGTGTTCTTCTTATTCTTAATGCGGTTTATTGTTGACCTGTGCACGTGAAAACTTTTGGCTAAGGCATCGATAGCTTCCTTAAAATTTCAGCTTTTTGCTTTATTGTAAGCAACGTAAATTTTTTCCCTGCCATTGTGAGACCGCACTCAATGAAACGTCCGTTAAAACTGATTCAAATGTCCCAAAATACACGTGCGTAAGAGAATTAGCCACTCACAGCAATTCATTTCCGAAATAAATCGGGACTTCCCCGAATTTTATTGAATCTAAGGAACCGTTACCAAAAGCAACAAGGCAATGTCGCAAGTATCGAGTTCAAATTTTTTGGATGTCGCAAGTACTGAGTACGTAATGGAAAAATTTGTTATGTTGCAAGAATCGAGGTGTGCAAGTACCGAGTATGTGCAAGAATCGAGGTACTACTGTATTACATATATGCCTTTTAAGTAGAATAATATACCTACATACATATATATGTTGATTGAGTTAGTAGTTACATATGTATGTAGGTGGTTAATTTTCACTTGCACACACGAGCCAAGTTTTTAAACTATTACCGTACGATTTCAACCGAGTGGATTGAATCGTGGTATTAAAAACTGGTGAAAAATAAAAATGATCTTAAATGATCGTGTGAGAATTTGTCTTCATATGAGAAGGCATATTCGTGTGTGCAACCCAAAGTTGTAGAAAAACAATTTTAATTTGTTTCATTTCAGGATTTATTTTTGTTATATTTCTTATTTTCTTTCAGATTTTTAAACTCTGAATTTCTCTGTATGTACATAGTTTAAGAACTTATATTGAAAAATAAAATAAAAATATTACCTAAAATAACTTAAATTTGTCAACATAATTGTATGCATATTACATAAGTAAGTATATTTTTACAACGCTTTTATTTGTACATCAATTTTTTAGCAACAGGAAATTCTTGCGCATGCAAAATGCCGTCGGCAAATGGAAATGTAAAAATTAGCCGACTGCGCATGCATACACTAATGCAATTTAATGAATTGCTACAATTCATAGATATGTATATGTATGTACGTATATATGTGTATGTGCATAAGTAAATATATACATACATACATACATATGTTTCATTAAATTGTAATGAAATAGTTTTATTGAAAAAGTTCCACTTTACATGACTTTAGATAATTGCGGAAAAAAGTCGAAAAAATTGACTTAGAAAATCTCATCAACATAGCTGAAACAGAAAAATTCATACATGTTTGCAAAAATGAATTTGCGACCAGCAAATCGATTTCACGCAAATATCATATTTTCGGCAAGCAAGC